AACCCGACCACACGCACGTGCACAAATGCATGCGTCGCCTTTCAGGTGTTTAAACGAACATGGGCTCAGGTAACCTTTCCAGCTGAGCTTTGGTGGGGGATGAGCTGCAGCGCGTCCTGTCTCTTCAACTCTACGTCCTGGTGTCACACCAAGCCTAAAGACTACTCATCTGTCACCTTCACGTTTCCTCCTCTATTGACAACCTACCCTTAAGCTCCAATACGCACTGCATCTTATGACGAGCACGAGTCACATCTGTGGCTCTCATAAAGACATACTATATATATATATATATCGGAAACCACAACAGTTCAAACTGTTTCCTCCTGGAACAAGGCTTTGGTGAACAGACATTTGGTCTTGAAACAACATTTTCAATCTGACTCATCTATAAAAAGAGTTGGAGAGAGACACAGAGGGCAACAGAGGGAGAGAGAGAGAGGACCAGCGGTCGAGCAGGCTGCTCAGAAGAGCTTTATTTAATACTTATATAATGTAATTCCGAGGTTTAGTCCATCCTGCAATCAACCCATATCACACACACGCGCGCACACACACACACACACACACACACACACACACACACACACACACACACATACACACACAGAGTTAAAAACACATACATGCATGGCATGCATACGGTATCTTTGCTATTCTGTATTACATTCTATTATTGCATTTGTGATGACGATGCTGGAAGAAGTGGAAGAAGACTAGATTAAATGCAAGTAGTGCGTGCAATAGGGACTATAGGACTTAGCCGTTAGCAATTTCACTGTATCAAATTCCCCAAGCCGCAAAGATCACTTTTCAAGCAGGCTTAGTTGTTAACCCACATATTGAAATGCATTCCTATTTAGAGCACGCATACAACATGGTCATTGTTGCGTGAGGATACAGATATACAAATGCCGCAATTTTTTTTTAAGAAAGCTGTATCCATGTACGCATAGGGACTTAGATTTCCGCTTCACCTTCCCAGGTAACGTTGGGTAGTGCGGAAAGCATGTTCTTTTCCATTAATACAGGGTACGAAGGCCATGCAGGCCGCGGAACAAGTGGTGCTGTAAACGTTGCCACCTGATCCGGATTTGGATTTGTATTTTTCTTCACTCCATTCATCAATCCCTTTCCTGGGCATTTTGTCCCTTTCCACGGTCGCTGAGGAACGTTTCAGTGTTAAGTCCTACCTCTGGCAACCTCAAAGTCTCAAAGGTGGATCATGCACGAGGCGTTAGATGAGTGAAGCCAAGAAAACGCATTTAAATACCAGGATGTCGAGATTAAACGTTTTTCAATTAATAATCACTGATTACTTTCTAGTTTACAAATGTGGAATTACAAAGTTTATCGCCCCCCTGCGTTTCCACTTGAAAGGCTTGACGTCTCAGAACCATTCAGGAAGAACATTTGACTAATTTAATCACAAGAACCAAACATGTTTGCGGCGGAACTACGAGAAATATGTGTTGCAGCTCTGCAAAAACTAATATTTGGCTCTGTTGTAGAGCCAACAGCACCTCAAAAGCCAATAGCTGGAAATCACAGCCGGGATGAGGGGGAGGCTGCTTCCCACCCTATAACCCTCAGGGCTTCATTCATCCGAGCGAATCCTGTGTAGGTGTCAGAGTCCTATGTGTGCCAATCGTTTGGGGCACTGGCTGTAGAGTTTTTATAATTGTTATTCTGTGCAGAGATGGCAAAAGGTATGCGTGACTAGCTTTGACGCAGGGAAGGGCTAGAGTTTTTGTTTACAGAGCACACAGGAGGGAGGCAAAGTGAGCCTTTGCAAATGTGACAGTGTGGGACCTTCCACATGAATGCACATGGAAATCCAACCAACACACAGTGGTTCAACTAAAAGAGTTAAGAAAAATACAGTTCAAACAATCAGTCACGTGTTTTGCTTCCTCTTTTCTGCATGCGACAAAAACTATTTGTTCACATAGAAATAATTAAAACGGGTGCAGCTATGGCAACAAAGAATAATGAATCATTGAGTGCAAGCCAGAGCGACTCACGTCTCACGTCTCACGTCTCACGGCAGTGTTGAAAACTCACTTTTCCCATTAGCTCTCTTACAAGCTGTCACACAGCAGGACCACCATCCGTCATCTCCAAACAGAGAGGACGCCAACAGAGCTGGCTCATGGGGGACAGGACGGGAAAAAGGGGGAGAAATTAGTATGTTGAACGCGCTCGTATGGAACACATGGTTGAATTTGGCGAAAGCTATGCTGGACGGACAGAGAGAAGGACGGACAGGTGAGAAAGAGGGAAGGAATTGGCAGACAGGGGCACAGATTAGGGCTTCGATGCTGATACTGCGTTGGCCTCGGTGAGCATCTTCGACAGCCCCACCCCCTCCCGCTTAGCTTGGTGACCTCATCGCGGCACACGGCCGCATCCTCGCAGCCCTTTTAATAGGCAAGAAAACAAAAGAAACGGAGAGCGGGAGCACTGGTCCCCATCCAGTTCACTTCCCTGGCAGAGTGCCTGACCACGATCACAAGGTCACACTCCTGCTCCACTTGTTCCTGAGTGCCAAGCACGAGGTCAGTGTTAAATGGAAGGGTGCAAAATAATCAAATAATTCTGCACAGCTGAGATGGAGAACAGAAAAAGCTCTTCTGGGTATCAGCCTTTACATGGTTTGCTCTCTGCTGCAAACATTTCAGTCAGCCTGTTTCTTTTACAAAGGTCCATTACTGTGAGCATCATTTTCTCATTTGCCACCGCCTCTCCTTTCTGTTTGCTGTTTTAAAGTAGGTATGGTTTTAAGTGCAAATGCTTCTGCCGCTGTTTTTGTTGTTGTGGGTTGTAAATGGCAGCAGTTGCCATCAACATCTACTCAGCCGGTCTTAAAAAGGGATGAGCAAGGCATTGCCAATTCTATTTCCTGAACTTCTATTTGCAGCCGAGCCATCATGAATTCATGGAGCTCATATCGTTTGTTCTCCAGTGAAGGACTACCTAAACCTCTTATCACCAAAGCCAGCGTCAAATGGCAACGCATGTGAGAGGAGTGTCGGGACGTGGGTAAAAAACTATGGGTAACACGGAAAGAAGTCACAGTTGTTGTGCCCATCTAAGACATTAAAGCCGAGTCGTCTATTTTAACCCGCAGTATGATGCTTTATTGAAAGGAAGAAGATGGAGAGGCTAAGTCACAGAGCAATCCGGATGGAAATGAACTATTAGGCCAGGTTATCATGTTTTCATCTATTTACTGTGTAATACATTATAATCCAAGACGTTCAATGAAGGTTTTTTTATTGCATTTTGAGTTAACATTATATAGGCAACAACTTATAACCCCCGTATATCCCCAATATCAACAGAAAACGATATCGTGGAACTACATGAAAGCAATGGCATCAATGGAAAACTATTAGGAGATTGTGTTGACACAGACATCACTCCCATGAGAACTGCATGAATGTTTCTGAAGATGTGTCTTCACAGATGGCCAACAGCCTCACAGTTCACTGTACTGCTATCAATACCGATACTCAATCTGTCAAATCTTTCTTTGAGTTAGCCTGTGAAAAAAACAAGTCGAATGCAGGCGCCGGCCTCTGGCTTTGCCGATTGAAGCACATTTGTAGGTGTCAGGAACATTTATTACCAAAATATGTTAGACGTACAAGGAATTTGATTTGGCGGTGTGTGCATAACATCAGACAGTACAATGGACAACAAGACAGATGAGTGTCTGTGAAAGTGACAAGTGTCAGTGTATGTGAATGTGGAGTTTGAAGGGAGTGGGGAACCTGGGCTCTGTTGATGGCATGTGACCTTTGACCTCAGGCACGTGCAAGAGGGCGTGTACAGGGTGTGGGCGTAACCGCCGCCATTTTGAGGTCATGCCCGGAAATGCGTCATTTTACGAATGGAAACGGAAATACGTCATTTTTGGGGCGTGATTTGTAGGGGGCGTGCACTGTTTAAGCATAAATACGCCATTTTACGATGACGTGCGTGGTTTTGATTGGAAATTTGCCATTTAGGGGGTGTTTTATGCGATGGGCGTTAGTTTTGACCGGAAACACGGCACTGTAGGAGGGGTTTCATCATATATATATATATATATAGAGGTGTTATTTGGCGCCTCGATCGAACTTTCCTTTTGGACTCATCCACGGGGTTCACGCTCCAGGATTCTTAGTGAAACAGCAGAGGCCTATCCCAGTGTGGTCCCAGTGGCGTCTTCTTCTTCTATTCAAAGGTATGAGAGGCCCCGCCACAAACCAGTGAGACACTGGCGCTTCTGTTCAGATTCACCAATATCAGCTTAATGCATGAACTAGGGGGCTATCTTCTTAGCCAACAGAACACAATTTGTAACCTAACAGAGGAAAGCCCTTAGGAAAACATACATCTTAAGGTTTAACGAGGAACACATATGTCGACTTAGTGCAGCATCATGTGACACAGTACACAAGCCGGGGCCAACCCCCAAACGTCTTCTTCTGCTTCTCTTCAATGGTATGAGAGGCCCCTCCACAAAACAGTGAGACACTGGCGCTTCTGTTAACATTCACCAATAACAGCTTAATGCATGAATTAGGGGGCTATCTTCTTCTTAGCCAACAGGACACACATTGTAACCTAACAGAGGAAAAACCCTCGGGAAAAAATACAGTTTTAACGAGGAACAAGTGTGTTGACTTAGGGTCGCATAATGTACGCAGCACCCAAACGGTGCTAAACCCTAAATAGCTTGAGAGCCCCACAGGGATGGAGAAAAACAGAGTCCTTATGTGGTAAACAGTGAGCAGTTTGTTTAGTTTTAATCAACATATGAAAAACAGGATCCTTACTATATAGATACCGACTGGTGCATCCTCACATTTAAGACATTTCCAGATATATATATATATACATACACACACACATACATTGGTATAAATTTAAAAAATAAAAAAATAAAAAGCTTTAAAGATTGTACTATGTCGAGTGATTCATATTTGAATCCTATGCATCCTATGCATGGGAGTCTTGAAAAACTGGTAAAAGGAGATTGCTGCACTCAGTTGTCTACCAACAACGACTACGTGCCCCAACCAGGGAGCTGGCACAGGTAGGGAAAATGACAGTATGATATAAGCTTTCTATATATTTATTATTTGACGAATCATTCATGGTGATTTTATAATTCTCTTGAAAGAGTCGACATCTCGGGAAAAGCCATCTGACCGTCGCTGTCAAACAGGGGTTGCAGGTAACTGGAACAATATCAAATATTTTTTATGTATTTTACTGATTATTGTTGTTAAACCGTGTATGCTTGTACAGTAGGGAGCAGCTTGACCTGTCAACACCAACAAAGGACACATGGTACTATCCAGAATGTTTGACTGACGAGGAAATGCTGCAGGTGGTCTGTGACTATGAAGTAGAAGAGAGTACTACAGTAGAAGCAACATCGGCAGAGTGTGTAACCCCATTTCAACAAAACAGAGCAGGTATACCCACAGAACCCACGGGGGTGATTGTGCACCCGAGGGACACCGCTAACACCTTATATGTAGAGTTGATAAATGAAATCAGTGAACTGCGTCGTTCCAACACCGCATTAAAAGAGATAGTAACCGATCTATGTAAGAAACAAGAGGAGGCTAGACAAACACAGGACGCCAAGGGCAGCTCCATAAAACAATACCTGATAGCTCAGAAACAAACAATACAGACGTGTAGTATGCCTCCCCCCAGAAAAGTTTCGAAGAGGGGCACGGGTGATATACAACGATCAGGGGATAACCATAATAATAATGATGATGCCCTCATCCCCTGTGATGCTATGAAATACTGTGAGGCATGTGGAAAAACATACAAAGCAGGACAAAAAGCGCACAAATGCGCTCCAAAAGTCTGCGCCCACTGTGGTGAGCAACAGTTGGAGAGCAAAGATAAACATGAGTGTTTTATTCAGCCTCTTTTATTCAGCCAAAGAAAGAGCCGCAAACAACCTACATATTATTTGACTTTGAGACAAGTTTTCATAACGGAAAACACGAGGCAAATTATGTATGTGCTATGGATTTAGAGGGAAAAAAGTTTTGTTTCAGTACTTTGAATTGTGTGGACACCTTTGTGAAGTATTACAGAAGACCGAGATACAAAGGCTACACGTTTATTGCCCACAACGCATCAGGCTTTGACAACTATATTCTGTTAGGAATATTTTGTAAAACAAAAGATCACTCCGCAAGTCACCATGAGAGGGAGTAGGGTAATACTGATGTATGACATTTCATACCGGCAGAGATGGATTGACTCATTCAGTTTCCTTCCCATGCGATTGTCAAAAACCCCCGCTGCCCTAGGGTTCAGTGATGTCGAGAAAGGCTATTTTCCCCACAAGTTCAACACCCGGGAGCATGAGCATTATGTCGGTAAATATCCTGATCCGTCCTACTACGGCTTTGACGATATGAGTGATAGCGATAAAGCGACATTCATGGAATGGTATAATGCCGTTTCAGGAGGAACATTTAACTTCCAAAAAGAAATCGGACGCTACTGTGTTAACGATGTAGAAGTGTTGCGAAAAGCCTGCAGCATCTATCGTGAGACATTCATAGAGTGCACGGAGCTTGACCCCTTCTCATTTACCACCCTAGCATCCAGCTGCATGGGGGTGTTCAAAACCCTGTTTCTCCCAAAGGACACAGTTGCTCTAACGTTTGAGGGGGCATACACTGCTCAGAATAAGACGTATTCTGATGTATCGATGCAATGGCTTGAATATGTGGCCCTCACAGAGAATATCGAGATTAAACATGCTCTCAATCACGGTGAACAGCTTTTTGAGCCGTTCTATGTGGATGGCTATAACTCTGTAACAAACACTTGCTATGAATTTGCTGGATGTTTTTTCCACGGATGTGTCAAATGCCACGTCCAGAGCGACATGAACCCTGTTACAAAAATCACCTACGGTAGACAATACAAGGTGTTCATGGACAAAATATATTCTCTACAAAAACAACACGGGCTGAGAGTTGTAGTGATGTGGGAGTGTGAGTGGTCTTCGTTAAAACGGACGAGCGGGGCTGTACAGGCTTTTATGGCTACTTACAAAAAGCGTGAGCGTCTAGAGCCTAGAAAGGCCCTCTTTGGGGGACGTACAAACGCTATGAAGCTGTACCACAAGATCGGTGCTGATGAAAAAATCAGGTACTACGACTTCACCAGTCTTTATCTGACGGTTCAGGCTAAAAAGCAGTATCCCGTTGGACATCCTCAGGTTATCCTGAAGGATTTTGAGTCTGTTGACAAGTATTTTGGACTCATAAAGTGCACAGTGCTACCGCCCAGAGGGCTGTTTCACCCGGTCCTACCATACAGATGTCATGACAAACTCATGTTCCCCTTGTGTGGCAAATGTGCTGAGGATTTGAATCAGAGTGGCGAGTGCACTCACGGAGACAGAGACAGACTGCTGGCGGGGGTCTGGGTGTCAATTGAACTGCAGAAGGCTGTGGAAAAGGGATACAGGCTTGTGTCCATTGATGAAGTTTGGCATTTCCCCAACAAAACAGACACATTGTTCAGCGGGTATGTGAAGACATTCATGAAGTGTAAACAGGAAGCGTCAGGCTACCCTGACCATGTCAAAACCCCCGACGACAAGGAGAAATATGTCAAAGACTATTTTGAAAAGGAAGGCATTCAATTAAACCCTGACAAAATCAGGGTCAACAAAGCCATGAGAAGCTGCAACAAACTCCTCCTAAACTCTTTGTGGGGCCGTTTTAGTATGCGCAATAATATGCCTGCATGCGAGCTGATCACAGATCCGGCTCGGTTCACACAATTGATGTTTAGTGATCACTTTGATGTGCGACAATTCTGTTTTATCTCAGATGACGTCGCTTTGGTACAGTGGCGACATGCAGACGCCCGCGGTTCCCGTATAAAAGACGTAAACGTCTTTATAGGAGCCCTGACAACTGCCCATGCCAGATTGATGCTCTACGACTTGTTAGACAAACTGCAGGAGAGGGTCTTGTCGGGCTGCCTAGTGAAGACTACATCACAGAGTTTGTATCAGGAGGACCCAAATGCTATGCCTATAACACGATGCAGGGTAAACCAGCTGTCAAATGTAAAGGCGTCACATTAAACGCTAGAAACGCCTCCGTCGTCACCCCCCAGTCACTGATTGGCCTCGTACAGGCTTATGTAACCAATCACAACACACACACTTTGACCACTGTGTCTGAAACCATCGGGCGTGATAAAAAGAAGTTCCATCTTAAAAACGAGACAGTTTTTAAGCAAGTCAGAGTGGTGTACAATAAGCGGAGGGTGTTGTCTGACTATACGACCCTTCCTTATGGATACTAACAGCGATCAAGGATTTGATGCACGACTACAACACCCCTTTAGTTTGGTAGTGAGTGGGCCTTCAAACTGTGGAAAGACTTTTTTTGTCAAGGATATTATTGCAAATGCTGAGAGGGTTATTTCACATCGTATTGACAATGTCGTCTACATTTATTCGTGCTGGCAGCCTTTATATGATCAACTGCTTAAAACAAGAGACATTAACTTTGTAGAGGGCTTACCAGAGTCTCTGTGCGATGATGTTTTACTACCTCCTGCCAAAAACAATCTACTCATTATAGACGATTTAATGAATGATGCCGGGAATAATATAGAAGTTCAAAATGTTTTTACCAAATATGTACATCATAGAAATCTCAATTGTATATATTTAGTACAAAATGTATTTATTCAGGGTAAATCTAGTCGCACTATTAGTTTAAACACCAACTATCTCATTCTGTTTAAAAACCCTAGGGATAAATATCAAATCACACTACTGGCCAGACAGATGTTTCCGGGTAATACTAAATATTTTTTAGAGGCCTTTAATGATGCGACCCAACAATCATATGGCTATCTTCTCATAGATTATAAAGCGTTGACCACCGAACATTTAAGACTCAGAACGGCTTTGCTATCGGACCAACAGGTTGTGTATATCCCCCAAAAAACAAACAGGCGTTAATAACGCTAAAATGTCATCACGCATGCAGAGGAATTTGTCATTGTTGGAGTTGATATATAAATCTACGCCTCGTGTGCGGCGTGTCATTGTTAATAATGCAAGCACGGATTTTATCGACTCTCTGTGTGAGATCGTACTCAATGTATTGAGAGGTAACATTCCTTTGACCGACAAACAATTCGCCCTCTTAAAGAAGAAGAAGAAGATTATCCGGCTGGTGGCGGATAAAAAAGTTAAACGGACCAAGAACAAAAAGACCCTCAACCAATCGGGGGGCTTTTTATTACCGTTATTAGGGGCTGCTATTCCGTTTATAATCAGTCTTGTCAATAGGCGGGGGTAGAAAATGGAGCACACCCAAAAAATGTTTCTGGTCCCTCCGCATCAGATTGGCATAGTAAAGCAGCAGCCTCAGCATCATCAGCAGGATCAACGAGGGTCTATAAGACAGGCGGTGCAAAATGAGCTTGATAGAGCTATGATTGATTGTTGAATCAACCTCCCAGTGAGCACAAGACGTAATTTCAACGTTGAAATATGGTTGAAATCGGGTTGAAATGAGGTCTGAACGTCTAAGACCTCATTTCAACGTCTTTTCAACTGGCTAAAAATGGGATGAAACATCAACGTGCCAGAAAACGTTAATTTGTTGATAAATGTGTCATGTTGTAACGTAAGGTTGAAAGAGAGACGATATTAACGTTAAGATTTTCATAATAATTAATGAACTGGTCGGCGAAATTTGGTCTACGCGAAGACGTAATTTCAACGTATTTACTATTTCGCTTAAAACTTCATAAATATGAAACTACGGAATGCGTGCTGTCAATAAGATGCGTTTAAGACATAATAATGCGGGCAGGTTCAAACATTACTTGTAAACACGTAACTCCGCTCACATCTGTAACGCGCATGCGCGAGTTCTTAGACGCCTGCAGAGCTCCGAGCGGACGAGGCAAAGTTACGGCAGCAGAGCGACATGAACGGGCTGATAGAACCACGACTACCGGCTCCACTACTCTGTAAGTACGGGAGTGTTTGAATGAAGCACACATGGAACTATAACCGGGTGTTTTACCTGTGCTGCCGACTCGATACAGGATACAGTTCGACGCTGGCTGGCGAGCTCTTCCATTGTCTTTGTGACTTTCCATCACAATTGGACTTGCATTCTTGCATCCTCAGTCGTCAGGGCAGCTTACTTGCGTTCTCTACCTGTGAACTCAAAACTCAACTCATGGTTTGTTAGTGACCTAGAACATTCATTTATTCCTAATGAAAATTATATCAATATATCATATATAGTTACATGTGTGTATGGTTTGTTGATGAAATCATTACAGGATGATAGTCTGTAACAAAGTTTCCCATTCTGTACTGCTGTTACGCCCTATGATCTAAAAATTTGCTTCCGTCATTAAGATGCTGTATGAGATGTACCGTGCA